GGAGAGTTTAGAGGTCATTTTCTTTGCGTTGAAACATTTATATGAGCTGCCGATTGGAAATATCACATAACGGCTTTCAATCAGTACCCATAGGATCCGAATGCAGAGTCAATTTACACGGGTAATGTCTGTACTACACACAACGTCCATCTTTGACGTCCCCATTCTGGACTTGCAATCGCGAAAATGCAAAAAACTGAATCACCAAAAATATACCGATTGTTACCGCCATTTGTGGTGAGTACTATAAAGGAAAGAAAACGTGAAGAAAACGCCAAAAATATTACCTGCGGGTATGTACTCACGAAAGTGGACGCAATGACACATATGATCATATGAAGTAAATCGACTGTACTTAGATTCTTCTATATGTTTCCAACGTTTCTGCAGCCATTTATAGAATGGGCTATACAAAAAAATTCTAGCTCCGAATCTCCATTTCCGCGGAGATTTTTGATAAGCTGCGAGTTTTTCCCCGGATAGAATAGGCACCCGCCAAGAAATCCGATCCAAGGAGAGGGAATGAGTTTTTTTCCGAGAAGGTGTTGGATGTCTCATCCCTCACTATTTCCTTCCAAACTACTTCGATACGCATAGCCAAGACCTAATTTCTTAGACAAATGCCAAATTCGCTGTGAAATCAAAATGTTCACCTCTAGCAACGGTCTCCATTCGGCTGAATTTCCTGGAAACAGGCCATGCAATAAAATAAGCATTATTCCAGTGGGAAAAAACAGTATTTCAGGAAATGTGAAGGAGAGCCGTGCAGCGCGAGCACGGCGCTGCTCGTGCTCGCTCTCGTTCCGTTGCTGCTACGAAAACTTTTAATGAACTCACTTAGAGACTGCTTTTGCCCTCGTAAATAACACGTCTTTACTCTTTGAAGGACATATAGTAAAAAATCCATACTTGTTCTTATTTTCCTCTCGGCATACATTCAAAAAAATTTGGTCACAGATCATCTAACCCTTTCTTTTCTTCTTCAAGACTTTTTCAAAAACTTGAAGATTTCTGTGATATTTTCGTTCAAAACAGAAGCATTATCAGAGGACATTCTGTGTTTGCTTTGCGTCATTCATGCTTACAAAATCATTGAACTTACGAAAAAAAACAATAAAAATTCTAAAATCTCGCTCTTTCCTATACACTTAATGCGCCCTTTGATTCAAGTGCCTTAACGCTGGAAGGCGGGGCTTCATGACCTGATTAAGACTAGATGATGATCGGAGAGAACGCGAGCGGGAGAGAAGCAGATTGCACCGCGGGCGCGAGCGGCCTTAATTAGGTCACAAAGCCCCGCCTTCTTAGCGCCAAGCCTGTATGCCCTTGGTTTAGTCTTTCTGACCTTCCATATTTGTTCGCATCTTTCATCATGTCTTTGATGAAACATATGTCCTGACATCCCCAGAGATTTCCTAGCATTTGATTTCTGTGATAAACACAATGGACCAAGTTACCCTGAGCACCACAACTTTTCTTCAGAGCATAATTTTCAAAATTTAATAGCTGTTATTCACTTCTAGAAATCATCTTTGAGAAAGAAATTCTTGCAAGAATTCATGACTCTTTAACTTCATGCTCAATATTTTTCACAAATCAAAAACCTTAATACTTAAAGGTGTCAGCTTAGCATCTTTGCTGCCCTAGAAGATCTCATATTCGGTTTTTCTGCATTTTATTGGCTCAATAAGAATAAATCTCGTTGTCAGACTACTAATAAATGAAATTTCATAAGATCAGATACTGAAACTGTAACACTTGCTTGCAAATTTCTGGCAAAATTGTCTTATTCGTTTCGTGAAACCGCGACTTTTCAATCGTTAGAAAAAAACGAGCTAATAGAACAAAACGTGCAGGAACTTTTTGAAAGTCGTATTTTATGGCGCTGGGGGTGGGGGGAGGGGGGGGGGGGGGGGAGGGAGAGGGAAAATGAGGATTGTATCTTTCAGGTCACTACGAACTTCCTAACACAATAGTACTGGAACTGTAATGAAGGATCCTAGCTGTGAATTATAGAAAATATTTTTCAAATTTTTTTTCGAACTTGAATCAGCTTTAAAAAATTTTCCTGGGTGGTGGCGCCCTTCTTTTTCTGAAACTTCGGGGTAAGGGCCCGCAGAAGTTTGGGAAACATCCCAAAAATTCTCTATTTGAGTCCCATCTCCCGGATGAAATTCCTGAGACTACCACTGCTATTTTTCTATGTGACTAATTATATAGTGTTTTCTGTGTTTAGCCATTTTTTCAGCACAAACTCGTCCACTCCTAACGAATGTTCGTAATGAACCCTAGAGGCGGGACTTGGGAACGTCGGCCATACGGGACGTCACTCATCAAACGTTCCTTAATTTCCTAGCCGCGTATCCACTTATTTACTTCTTTCACGATCTTTTCCAATCAGGCATAAAAGGGATGGGGGAGGAGATAATACGGGAGAAAGGGGGAGGGTGCGAGTTGATTGGATAATTGTAGTTGGAATCGCTTGGAGAAATTGTCGGTGTTCCAGCTTCGTAGTTTCTTATGGAATTTTTTCGTCCCCATAGGGTCTTGGAAAGCCATGGGGCAAAGCTGTTAAGGCCCTGTGCCTTGCTGACTTTTCTATTCTTCTTAAATTCCTCATTTCCAGAACTAAAACTTTACGACTAGTGGGGCGCAAATATGACCTTCCGCTTACGGAAATGATAGTAGCTCAGCAAATAAGCCTTGAAAATTGCTGAAAACAAAGCTCTATCGTGAGAACTGGGGTCGCAATCTCACACAATGTCCCGTATAAGTGCCACTAGTAACGTTCGTAGAGTTCTTCTTTTGCAAGAAGCGCAAACAACCTCATGCTCTCTCCCCATCCACGCTGATGAGTCCAATTTCATGCCTCGGCGAGTTCTTTCATGAGGGCGTCAAAGACAGAGGTTCAGCTTACTCTCTTATCACTTTCACTACGAGCAATATACTAAGGCTTGAAATCATTTGTTGTGAAGAAAAGTGAAAAAAATTTTTGACTCATTTTTTCAACCTTTCACTGCCAAATCAGTGTATCACAGTGTCATACAGAGTTGTTTACCGGGCTTACTCGGCTTAAAAAAACGCGAAAAGGTTCTTCCTTCTCACTTTTTGCAATCTCATAAAAAGTTCATTTATAAAACTTTGGTGGTTACACCAGTGGCGAGAAATTTCTGGTGAAACTTTGTTTGTTTTTTTTTTGAATAAAGATGAGGAGAATTTGGGATGATTCCCGAATTTTTTCCATAGCTGAGCCCTCGAACAATACAAAGACATTTTTCTAAAAGTTAACCTCCAAACAATCACAGATAAAAACAAGTCACTTTTTGTAACTCATTAGTTGACTTTCATAAACTCCGCGATAATACTCAGGGCTCCTCTCCATCCCGAAGAATACATTCTGTTACTCAAGATGTAATGTTATGTAGTGTAGAGGTGCTCAAAAATTTGTTATAACCTTAAACGGAAACTGTGTCATTCAAATTTAGTCCTTTAGTTCCGTAGCTTTCATCTTTCCTCCTATTCTTCACTCTCGTTCGATTTGTATTCAATTGAATATTTGCATTTTATAAATTTGTAGACATTTTGGCGGACAAAACATATTCTTTCTTTTTAAGTTTTTGCCTAGTTTTTTTTAACAGCCGACTTTTACGCTTTGCTAGCTTTAACAATTTGTACTGTGATAAATGAACCGTAGGGCATACTACATTTATGAGTTCTTGAATACATTTGAAAAATTCACCTGTTTTTTCTATTCAGAAATTGTACTTTTCAATTATGCCGTTTACAGCTTGGAAGAAAGCGTAACTCACGGATATTTCCAGGAATTTGCTTAAAATAATTTCTACAAAATGCCTCTTCTCGCTCTTGAAATAAACACTCTGACAAAAACAAGGGTAGCGAAGCTTGGAAAAGTAGTGACATCAGTTTGATCAAAAAAGCTAGCAATTTCATCAATCCGCTCTTAATTTTAGAATTCGTATATTTTTACTACGGTATTTTTCAGGAATTGTATTCTGTTATAATGAAAATATTAAAACTTTTCTTGATTTCCTCAGCCAATATTACCATATAACGAAAATTCGAAAGGAGCTTTGCTCTGATAATTGCTTGTTTGTCGAAGCGTTCCTTGACTCTAGCCTTATCTCACTCTCCCTCCCCCCCCCCCCCCTCCTTCCTCGCTTCCCTCAGAATCAAATGTAGATGTATTTGAGGAAGGGCAACAAAATGACTTTACAGAGCTTGAAAACGAAAGTCTGAGCGCTGCTTCTTTTGAGCAAATGAGAAGATAATCAATTTATGCTCAGCATTTATTTCTGGAAAGGGATTTAACCTTATTTTCTTTTTTCGTAAACCAAGAAGTATACCCTTATAATTAGCTTGTTATGGAGAACTTAATCAAAGACTTCACTGAATTCTTTCGTTCACTTAGATAGCATCTTGTTTTCCTTATAGTTGCACATGTCGACAATAAATTTTAATTTCTTTATGTTGAAATGGGAAGAATAAAACAGTGTCGCTTTTCAGCAAAAAAATTCATAGTCAAGAGGAACGTGGAAAAAACACAAAAAAATTTTCTTGAAAATTTCGCAAAGGTTTCCTTGTGAATCTGCATAAATAAAGTAAAATAAAATATATCTGAAATGAAAAGTTCTAGTAAGCAATTTGTACTATATATTACAGTTGTATAAGTGAAATTTATTATATAACATCAAAATTTGTATGAATGCGAATTAATATTGTTCTAGATCTGAAGCGAAAGTAATCACCTTGCTTTTCTTCCTATCCCCCTCTCCACTCTCTCCCTCCTCCCCATTCCTTGCTCTCGAACCTTTAAATCTATTTTTTGTACTCGACAGGTTCCTACAATTGGACTCCAAGTCCTACAATTTTCACACTTGTAGCTATAAATTCCTTGTTATTCGACTTGCTCGTGTCACATTCCAAACAAGTCTTTCTCATGTAATCTTTAGCTTTCTATTTTTAGAGCAAATGAAAAAATCATGATGAACTACGTGCTACTGTTGATCTATGCATTATTTCCTTGCATTTGCGCTGTTGCTAGATTTGAGCCAATATCCGTCAATGACGTTTCTGTCGTGATTCGAATGATCAAGGTAAGCGTTTAATTTTTTTCTTTTATTTCTTTCCTCTTTCTGTCTCTATATCGAAATCAATAGTTCTATATCGCCTTCTAAATCCGACTACAAAAATTTGAGTTGTTTTTACATACATGAATTTCTATGTAACAACGAAATAGCAAGAATTACAAAAATGAAAACTCCGACAACCGTCCGGAACTTCCGCAAAACGTTTGTGAAAGTTTCGCCCGGCCATCTGCGGAAGTTCCTTCCCAAGTTGGATACTGCGAAAATTCCGAAGAATGCGAACCACAACAGCAAAAGAACTTGAGCGAGATTCAAACCTTGCTTTAATGACTGCGAAACTCTCTTACTATCCCATACTAAAGTATTGCGGAACTGCTGGGATTTTTCAGAAGTTCTGCAGCGCTTTGCAAAAAGTCCCTCGGAAGTTCCCATTTTCAACGTTTCCACTATTGCAATAGTAAGCAAAATCCTGCGGAACCGCTGGCAATTTTCGGAAGTTCCGCATATGTAAAAAGTACTGCGGAAATTCCCTTTCCACTACTGCAATAGTAAGCAAAATCCTGCGGAAACTCTGCAAATTTCGCTTTTCCTGCGGAAGTTGCGGTGAATTTGTCTAAGCAGAACCGCTTTGCTTTAGGGCAATAACGTGAGCAGTTTCGATATGGCCGTGGAAATTTTTGATTTGGATCGGCTCAATGTATACCGTACAACAGACCTGGAAGGCACTACAAGGGATCAAGTAAGTCCTCAAGTTCTTCAAACAAATGCCGCTTTTTATAGAATGAGCCTGTCTCGACATTCGAAAAGTTTCAATTCTTCAACTAATAATCATGTTACAATCGTAAAGGAAGGGAGAAAAAGAAATAACTCCGCCTTTACAGAGACGGTTAGAATTTGATACTTTGAAGGTTTTTTCAGCAAAATTATGGAGCTTTCTTTTCGCGGAATCTTTTCTTTTTTTTTATACTTCATGAGCTCGTGATTCACAATCTTTCTAGATTTTTACTACAATTAAAGGGACCTAAATTTTTTGAAAATCAAAAATGCTGCGCAGTGAGTCACGTATGATTCCAGGATTCATCTAAGACTATTGGTGGACAATTTACTTCAGCCGCAATGTCCTTTCCAAAAATTCTCTTTCCTGGTACTTCCTTTTTTGTATTTATGCTCTCGGAATAATTTCGACTCTTGAATAATAATAATAATAATAATTGAATAATCGAATAACGTCTACAAAAGTAATGCCTCCCCCCCCCCCCTCCCCTCCCCTCCCCCCTCTCCTCGCTTCTCGTCCCTAAGGGTATCTAGACAGGCCGGTAATGATGGACAAACAAAGAAAAAGGCTTTTTTGAGAAAGGCAGACATTTACCTATAACATACCTATAACATGTCTTCGTTTATCGTTCAGGCGACTCACATTAAATCCCTGGAATAAAACTATTTTTCATTCTAAAGTAAAATAATTACGAATTAGTTTTCTTAGAATAGAGGGTTTATTTTTACTCTAAGAAAGCAATTTTTAACCTTCTGTGAACCCCTCAGCGATGTTCAAAGTCCAGCTGTTTTTTTCCTAATTCGAAAGCTCTCAAGGTAAAATTGACGCCTAGCAACGTACAATTTTCACATCGATTCCAACTATTATAAAATTGCTGGCTGCAAAGGCCATGAAGCGGAAAAGATTGAGAAAAATTCCCATTTTTGGGTGCAATCCACCATATGGCCAAATCAAGGTGTTACATACCTAACGACACTCTCGAAAAAAAGCACACGACTTTTTTATTGGCATATAAACCATCTGCGTCATTAAACCGGCCCCATCTATAAAAAAAGGGGACTTTCTTTGATATTTCGAAAACGTTGAATAGATTTCTGACATGTCAATGCAATATTGCCTAGCTTTTACGATGGTGATTGTGTTCTCATAGGAAAGAAAAAGTCCCAAATCGTTGATTTGGTCATACTGAATTGGACAAAAGGTCCGAGAGACCAGTTTTGCAGACACAGAGGTAAAGGAGCTTTTTTACGTCTTCTTTCTGGTGCAAATGTCTTTGGTAGATGATTCCAAACATGTAATAGAAACAATAAATGCAGGTCAAAAGAAAGAAATGTAAGTCCCTATACAGAAACGAAAATAAATAAGCATATCGGTCTTGCAAACTGTATTTTTTGTGATAGCACACATCTATGTTCAGCATATCAGTAATTCTGACTATTTTAGGGTTTCAATCCGTCTTTGACAGAATGATTTTGCAAGGCGTAAAATAAAGAATACCAAATAAAAATTAGCATAGCAGATGATTCATATTGAAAAACGTAGTTCTCGAGTGAAGCATACTAGTCATCTGGTTAAAAGTTTAGTTTAAAGGACAAGTTCTTCCGATCTAGGCAAAAGTGCAATGAATTTCCAAACTCGCAATAACTTTTTCATTTGTCTAGAACAGTTCCCGCTAAATCTGATGAATTCGCTTTGATTCATTCTGAAGGAGATATCTAGATAAGAAGATCCTATAGCTACGCGTGACACTTCGTTGAGATCAAAAACGACTGCCCCTGGATAAATGAGTAAACAAAGAAGGAAATCCATTGTGATGCTCACAAGATGAATAACATCTCATTAACAAACTTAGCTTTCGAAAAACTACATTATAAGCAAACAAAAAGTGTTCTTATTGTAGGAAAAATCTTGAGCCGTTTTGGTAAACTTATAGTACTTTTGCGTTGATACCTTGGTTAGAATCTTCCGGTAAAACCTAAAGTTTGATCATTTGCTCCCTTCCCCCCTTCCTCTCACTCCTTATGCACTCGTTCCATCTTGAGCACAAGTTTACTCCCATTAACTTGCAACATCTCTTCTGCACATTACTAGTTCTTAGTTCATTGCGCATTGGCATGTTTGCAATTCTTCGGCTCGACGCACGTCCTCAATACTTACGCGATTATTGTCTCCAGTACGGCCATATTAACGGGTTGATTTGTCCTTATTAAAGCACCGGATGTCGCTCTTATTGCCCCGACGGCATCCAAATGATCGTTGCCCTCCAGCACTAAAATGATTTAGTCCAGCATGTGCTTTATGTTTGGGCGCACACGCGCAGGGACTATCGGGTCGCTCTCATGCTGAGTGGTTTTCTGATCGGAGCCGTCATTACCGTAGTAAATGCTAGGGAGAGAGGGGGGAAGATGGGGAGGGGGGGGGGGGGAGAGAGAATAACTACTCGGGTAGTTGTTGTTTATTTGTGAAGAAAAAACTAGGACGATTTTTACAAGTGAAAACCTCTTGGAAACGTTGAAAAATAAGAGCTATGGCAATTATGCCCCCCCCCCTCCCTAGAATAATTCGTAGAAAATTTGAAAGTATTAGGTTGTCAAGAAAATAATGTCCGTTTTTATTTGCTTGCTTTAACAAAGCAACCAGATTCAACCCAACAAAGGGTAAGGGGTACTGTTCGATAGAGCAAAGCAAGCTCTACAAGATGGCACTCATGTCTTTGCGCCATGCTCGATCCACGGAGAGTTCGAACTCAAAATCTAAAGATTTCCAAATGCCCAAAAAATCGAAAAAAATCAGATCTTCGTCCAGATAATTTCTACGGACCTCCCACTCGCTCACATCAATACTATCGATATCTGATATCCACATGTGCGATTGCCGTATTTTTTCCTTGACTAGAAACTGAGAAAGCGAAAATTTCCCTGATTTTCTTAAAGCAATGCTGAGCCTTTTTTGCATATGTAGTTCTATACTACAAGCCTGGGTAAGTATAACTGTAGGTTTTCAGCCTATTTCGAGCGGTACTTTTCGAGAAGTGTCGATTTTAGCACTGAAACTGAAACGAAAAAATTTGAATTCGTTATTTTTCGAAAACTACCGCTTGGAATGGGCTGAAAATCTACAGTTATACTTACCTAGGCTTGTAGTATAGAACTACATGTGCAAAAACGGCTCAGCATTGCTTTGAGAAAATCAGGGAAATTTTCGTTTTCTCATTTTCTAGTCAAGGAAAAAATACGGCAATCGCACATATGGATATCAGATATCGATAGTATTGATGTGAGCGAGTGGGAGGTCCGTAGAAATTATCTGAACGAAGATCTGATTTTTTTCGATTTTTTGGGCATTTGGAAATCTTTAGATTTTGAGTTCGAACTCTCCGTGGATCGAGCATGGCGAAAGACATGAGTGCCATCTTGTAGAGCTTGCTTTGCTCTATCGAACAGTACCCCTTACCCTTTGTTGGGTTGAGTCTGGTTGCTTTGATAAAGCAAGCAAATAAAAACGGACATTATTTTCTTGACAACCTAATAGCTTACATGATTTATGGGATTGCGTAAGTGACTTGTTTTAGATTGCCAATAATCGGAATAATTTTTATAAACTTTTCGGGAGGCGCGATTGGTCCGCAGAAATCGCAGAAATTTCTTATTAAGTCCCCTTAGGGTATGACGCTACTCCCTCTCATTCCAAAAAAAAAATTTTTGTCGTGCTTTAAACCCCTCCCCTTTGAAAAATTCGCAGACACTGCTACGAGGTATCACAGAAAAAGACAAACTGACAATGAAAAATTTCTGTATTGCTTAGCAACGCAACTATAGTAGAAACAGTTGATAATCGTGCAACTGCACACGACATGCCACCGTACGTAAATTTAGGAGTTTGTCAACTATTGCAATGCATCTTCAAGGAATTTTCTTGAGCTTCTTTCTCACTGTTATTATCCGTGTTTCTTTTTCGTAGGTAAGGGGTACGCTTGGAATTCCGAAAATAAGCGCAATATGCCAACAATTTTAAGATAAACGTAGAATTTGCATATTGCATATTCAAATATAAAATTATTGATTAATTAAACTGTAGATTCGGCTTATGTAATTACCGCAAAAGCTTTCGGACCTTCTACCGAAACTTTCTGGGGCACCTCTATACATCTTAAATTTCTAACCATTGTGAGCAATGACATCCCGCTCATCAGCTGTCTACCAATCCACTGACAGCTCCTTTTCATCTCACCTATGCTAACAATTTGCCATCAGCCATAAGCATCGGGAACGGCTTTGATTAGGGGCGCACCGGAATTGTTTGCCCAAGAACAAGTGCCATTAGAATGATTGACACATGTATACTCTCAATGGCATCGAACGGCATAGGTTCGAATTCACGATGGAGGGGGGGGGGACAATAACTTTGTTCAGGATTACCTCGAATGGTTATAGAGAGTGTCTCGAAATGAATGAATAAAATGAAAAATCTATCCTCCTCGGTGGTCCAAACAGCGATGAAATTTCTGAAAAATAAAAGAAAAAGTTCTATGTTTGATATGAGCCTAGCTACAAATCAAAAACTTCTTGACTATCATCTATTTAAAAAATGAAAATAAATTGAAATTTTTAGTTATTCTCGTTCGATGGCCTCACTCCTGGTACATGGTTCGCTTTTCGGATACAATACCAATTGCACTATGAAAATTCCGAAGATCCACAAAATATTTTCAAAACAAAACAGGTGAGAAATTCAGAATCTATTTCTTCTGGAAAAGTTTAATCCATACATTCTCTACTTGTCAAAATCTGCTCAAAAACAATTATAAAATTGGATTTATCGACTGCAGAATTTTATTAGGTTGTTGTAGTTTTGCAAGTTTCACAATGGTCATACAGTCTGTCTCAATGCCAATCATGCCCAACTAACAAGGGAAGGATAGTTGGATGCCGCGGCCATTCCTAATGGTTTGTATACCAAAAAATGCGCCTTCGAATGCAGATTCCGAATCTGTGCTCGAAATCTGCGAAACGGTCTTTTGAAGAAAGTTATGAACTTTTTTCCTTGAAAATTTAGCCTACTTTTGGATAGTAAGAATCACCAGATTTGATCTAGCCTACCGTTTGATGCTACTGAAGAAAATTTTAGACGGAGTAATATTTATTTAGACTATTTGGATCATACTCAGCATTTGGAAAGGAGAGAAAATTTTTTATTGGTGATTTTGACCCTCCCCAGGAACGCAATTTTTTAATAAAAAAAATCATAACTCCATTCAGATTATCGTTTCGCAGATATGAAAGACAGTCTACGAACCAGCATTCAAAAGCGCATTTTTTGGTATACAAATCATTATGAATGGCTACGGCATCCAAGTATCCTTCCCCTGTAAGCAGCATGACGGGAGACCGCATCGCTACGGCTCTGCGTCACGCTTACAGTCTGCTTGTCTGCTCCCTCTTCAATCTCTTCGCTCTCTCCGAAAATGCGCGCATACAGCGCAACTTCTTCTTCTTCTTCTGCGTGCGCGCAACTTTTTCTTCTTCTTCTCCTTTGGGACAGAATGTAGTCTAAATTTTTATCGAAATAGGTGCACGGGTAAGCAGAAAACGCCTCTTTTTACACTATAATAATCAATTTACTGTAATGTTTCTTTTTATGAAGAAAAATTTAGCCATTCCGGTAAGTTTTCAGCTCCAGTTCTGATTGAATCACACCTTTGCAGAAAATCTACCTTTAATTTTGAACATATGACATAATTCCGTTTTTTCTGTATGATTGTAGTAGCCTGATCAGTGGATTCTACAAACATTGAATTTTCAGGAAATTATTGTGCGAACAAGGGACTCCCATTTTGAAGATCATACGAAAATCAACGACACCATTGCTTACATCGATGATTTGTTCATTACTAAGGACAACATTTACATAGGTGTGGCGTCGGTTTTCAAGGACACTAAGAAGGTATGGTCTACAATTTTCAATTCAGTCATTTTTTTGCGCCAGAATTTTTTTTTGAGAATTTCTGCAAAATGTGTTGACCACAGAAAAAAACTGCCCGGATTTTTTTATGTTTGTGTTTCCTAACTGTTAGCAATACTAGTCTATCTAGTCTACTAGTACTTCATTAGCTCTCTAACCTCGAGGGTATCATAAACAGCTGTGTGACCTTCATGTGGCAATAAAATAGTCAAGAATATATTGGATGAGCTTTTGAGTGTTCCATAAAAGCTAGAATATAATGAGAAAGCCATAGAAGTCAAAAGGTTTTATTTTTTAGGTCATCACTGTGATTGTTCCCGAGCTTCGATGCTCGAAAGGTGTGCTCAAACCACTTGCTCAACAGGTAGGCTTATTGCGTAATAAAATATTTAATGAGATCACCTTTATAATGATTTCAAACTACGACAAAAGTGATAAACAAAATGCCTGTAATTGATTGTCCATGAAAAAAACTTTAAGTTTAGAGGGCTTTACTTAGCGGGTTATCCGGACAGCATATAGGAGTCAATGTGAACATTTGTACTAAAAAATGCACGATCAACAGAAGTTGTACGGAAAGACCTGGAGTTTTGCAAATGTACCACCTTATTCTTTTTTTTTTGGATTAGCTTAGAAAAGATTGTACTGATCGCGCAAAAACTGGCGGGTTCTGAATGGTTGAAATACGATTCTATCATAAGTTTTTTGCTGTGAGTTACAACTGTAGCGCAGTTGCTAAACCGTGGAACACTTTTAACATTCGTGCTCAAAGAATATTAGGCCAGAGAACAGAGCTAATTCATTCTGTGTCGATCGAAATACACCTGACTAAAGCAGTGGATCGGGAAAATTGCAATTGGTCTTCCATCCCTCCTTGACCTTCAGAATGCGCTGAATTCAGGGCTGTTCTTGGAAAATTGAAATCGCTTCTCATGGCGCTTTCCGGAGATTGCTGGAGGGGTTGGGGGCGAACGATTGCGACTGCGACTCAGTCAATTGGCTGCCTGAGCCGATCAGCCGATTGCCGCCAAAATGGTTGGGGTTACAGTACCCTACAGCCAGTCGCTGGTTCGGCGGAAATTGTTCGTCCAGCCCCCTCAGCGTCTCCACTTCCGAAAAACGCTAATGAAGCGCTTTTTGACTTTTCAAGCACATTCTCGGACTCATCGGGTCCAGAATTCCCTGTAGGTGCGAAAAGCTCGCAGTCGCAATTTTCCCGAGCTACTGCCTTTAAGAAGTCACGCTACCGCAGTTTTGGTGCAATTGCACTGTGGTCAATACAGTTTTAGTTTGTAACTTCAGCTTCATTGAAGACTCTTTCCTATATAAAAGAGAACAAGTTTTCCTATTCAAGCTTTTCGTATGATTAGTGCGATGAGAGAAATGTAACTGAAAAAATAAGCCTTTCAAAGTTTTGACTCGGTATGTACCTGGTCTTAAACAGTTGTGGTGCGAAAAATGTTAGGAGTGCACAAAAGTTTTATGCATAAGAGAATAATCAGAGGGGGTTAGCCGGGATCATTCGGAAACTAGTGTAAGGTTAATCTCCATATATACAACCTAAACGTGGGCATGTTATTTTGAGAATTGTTGTATCTATCAACGTGAGAAAAAGTTGTTATTCAACCACTTTTGGTCGCGACTTTCAAGAAGCCTACATGATTTGCAAAACGGCGCAAGTGACTTTTTTGTCTTATGAGTGATTGAAAATTTCCAAAATTCAAATTATCTTTGCAAAAATATTTGGTGCCGGCAGTTCCGTTTTTAAAGTTCCAAAGTTCTCGGCAGACAAATGAAAAGCAATCTAAACTCTCGGGAGGGCTTGGCTTACTTACGCCCCATCAATTGGAAAAAATTCTAATGCTTTCCCCCCCCCCCCCCCCATCCGAGAGAAACTTGCTGGATTGCCACTGGTAAAATGTCATACTGATTTTTTACGAATTTAAGTTTTTTGAAAAATATGTTTTTCTGTATTTTTGACTACAGTACACTCTTTTCCAGGTTATCCACCACGCTTCCTTCCACTTCGACCTCACAGCACTGGGGGACTCGGATAAAACGTGCTCGAGAATTTGTGTTTTTCCTTTTCTTCGGGTAGCCATCAGGGACCGGACCAGTGAGACATTCCGTGGCAAGGAATGGTGTGGTAGTATCGGCGAAGCGCGAAAACTCGTCGCCGAATCTTCAGTTGGTGCGCCTCTATTCCGTGGCTTATGCGCAATAATTTTTATTTTGTTTACTTCGTCTTTCTTTCAATAATATTTGCATAATCAGTCAGTTCTGAGAATGATCTCATTATTCTATGAGTTATTGCGTTCGGCAGATGTATAAATATATCTCAATTCCAACTCAGGTTCAGACATCTTATATATTCTGTGTCATGTATATGCTCAAATAGCTAAGACTTCTCTTTGAAGATCAAGTTTTTCTTGAGATGAAAGTTTTCAATTATGAATTGGTCGCACCTCTCAGGTATTCTATGCTACATAATCTCTATTCTCAATGTATTTGTAGTCCTTTATTGTATGTCTTAAAAGTATTAGAAGAAGCCTCGATGTTTACGCGCCTCATGGTACATTCAAATCACCATTACTTTGCTTGTTATATACGATACTGAGTATTGTGTAGTGCCAACATTTATTCTGTCTGTATTCGGATGTTCCGGTGATAAATAAAATATAAGTCTTAGACTCAGCCTGTAACTAATATACATCTAAAACTCAGACACTTAATATGAACTACTGATGACAGGCGAGTTTGGCAAACTTTTCCTTGGGTTTCATTTAGTAAAGAGGTGAATGGAAGCTCAGAATGGAAACTTTACGAGAAACTTTGTCGTCAGGAGCCACGCAGTTAGGAACTTCTCAAGGATCTCTTCGAAAAATTTTCCAGAATGCAAAACTTTCTGAGGACAGCAGGAGGGAACTTTCCGAGGGTTTCGTAATCCGTAATACTGCCACGTCACTTCATGCGTAAGTGCCATATGCGAGCACAAAAATTTGATCTTGTTTATATAATCCAAAAAAGAGTGGGTTGTAGGGCAGGCTTTACTCTCTCCAATAGTACAAGTACTTTGCCAAAAACCAACTGCTCTATCGGAAACCCAAAAAGAAAAACGCTACAAACTTGCGTAGTGACCTAATATCTAAATAAGACCGATCGTGTGGAGACGCATGTTCTCATGCTTTTGTCGTACAAAAACAAAATGATTTTCATGTGAGCACAAATGCGATCCATTTCCGAGGTTCACACACATTCGCATAGATTTCGCTTTGCTTTTTCCCTCGAGGACTTCTTTTCTGTTGAGCACGCCAGGTCTCGCCAAGGCATTGCACCTAGAAGAGTTGTTTGTATAGTCTATGCTACGCTTATGCAAAGCAGTGGATATTTGCTCTGCTCTACAACCGTCCTCAACTTAGAGACAAACTTTAACCTTGTTGGTAGATATAAGACAATTGGTGTTAAGCAAATCGATTGTTCTGTACCAAGCGCATCAAACATATCTGATTTGGAACCTATATCCAGTAAGCAATATCCAAATCATAAATTAAACGGAATTTCTTTTGTATGTCTGCATGTCTGTATGTCTGTATGTCTGTATGTATGTCCGCATGTATGTCTGCACTTACGTTGAGAATAGAAGATTCCATTTCTAAACCGATCAGGACCAAACTTACCACACATACACATCGGGGGGGGGGGTGTCGTAGGCAAATTCTCGTTATCGGATATCGATTTTATCGATTTTTATCGATTTTTTGTAACGTTTGACCGACGGGGCTGGGAGTTGGCGCAATGGGATAATCGACTTGCTGATTACGATTAAAATACTGATTTCTAGCATTATTGATCACCTTCACGAATTTCATCGATTATTTGATAAGTTGGAGCTACTGGACTGGGAGCTGGCAGGGGTAAGTGGGCATGCTGGTCTCGGAGAAAATTTTTGGTATGTTTCCCAAAATTTTCGCGTGCCCATAACTTCGAAATCTCAGAGAAAGCGTGTAGCCAGCCCTTTTCTGAGATTTTCATAAGGTATGAAATTCAATTTTGCAGCGGCTAAATTGCTTTTTTACAGGTCTGAACAAGTCACTGCACTTTATAACTCATATAAATAACATTTAGTGGCATTGCTTATGCCCTTCGTACTACAATGTCAACACTAATGCCCGCATACAGAAACAATCGTCAGGTTGATACCTAACACTGTCATATCGTAGTTTTGAGCCTAATGATAAGAGGGCATAGATAAGAGCTACGCTACTCTCACTGTTCACGTGCTATAATAGAAAAAGGCAGTTTCTAGTGGGAAAACTAGCCAAAAAAAGAAATTTTTGGCAAGCATTCCCATTAGGAAGTTTCTTTTCCGCAGATGACATTTTTTACTTTGAAATTTTTCGCTGATTACAATCTCCCATCTCTTCAAGTTGTGACTCTGATTGCAATGCCATATCATACTGGTTGCCAAGCGCAGATATAGTAGAGCTAAATACTCATACTACTCAGTGCTCCACTTAGCAACACATTTCGATCTCTGTTAATGATAACATTCACTTCAATGTGGCAGGTTTAGATGGCCACAGAAAAGAAAAGGGTAGCGATTGTTGGAGCAGGTGCATCTGGACTACCGTCTATCAGGTGAGCGATATTTACCCTTGTCCATTGAAAGTGCAATTCTTTTATAATCAAGGCATGTCAAATTCACTTTGAGTTGTTATGGCTTTTACGCCTTTTTCACAAAATTAAAAAATCTTGCTTAGTTAGCCATCGCACAATAAGCGCACTTTACTGGGTCATTTAGAAACAAGAGGAAAGAGATTTTCTCTCAGATAATTGCCATTACGATTTCTACTTGGACAACTAGGCTGTGGCAATACTTTTTCTACCTTTTGGCCCTTTTGGCACATGCTGACAGCTCAAGAATACGATATTACGTCTTACAAAAAGGAGATCTACTCAATAGCTGCGGATTCTAGGTAAAGGCGATGGAAAATATCGCGATTGAGTTTTCAGAAAACGGCAGCATAAACTTGCAGGAGTTTTTGGATGATAAATTCCTTGTAAAGGTGTAGCGAGAAGAAAATATGCGCCGATCACAAATTTATCCAGCGATAGGTCCATAATTTCGGCTACTAGTGTATCCTTTGAAGTCTCTTTCTGTAGCCTTTCTTTCAGATTATATACGATAGGAAATTTGAATTAACATATCTCAGTTCTTAACAATTTTTACAAGCGGCAGCCTGCTTGGATAATTGTTTTGGTAGAAGACTCACATAGATGCGGTGGCGAGTCATTTGCTGCTAAATATGCGTATTACACACCACGCGCGCTACTTCATGGCTTATATAGAACCCAATAATTTCAGGGACTTTCCCTTGTTTTCCTTCTCTCTTTTGGTTTTAATCAAACATGGGTAGTAATACACATTTCCACAGTTTCTTGCATCAAAGGTTCCACTGATGAGTTGCCAGTAAGGTGTCGTCGACTGCCGCGCGCTGTGTGCAGGCGTACTTATAGCGAAATGTGACTCTTGAGAAAATTGAAGTGAAGGTTCAAGAAAGTGGAAATGGATTTCCATAAGAATTTTCATGTTGAGTTTAGAAGTTTATTTTAGGCATGCTCTGCTCTACGATCTTGATGTTACTTGCTATGAGGCTTCCTCATATGTGGGTGGTCTATGGCGATACAGAGAAGAAGAAACTGAGTGTGAGTACAAGTTTCCTGATTTCTAAGGGGAGTTTGTTTGTGTACACAACAACACGCAATATGACCCGCGTCAATCTTTATAAACAGAAATCCATTCAAAAGCTTCTTTGTAAGGTCTTCAATTGATTCTTCTTTTATGCAACACTTTGAATCCCGAAGCTTTTCCTCCCATATAAATCTGTAAAATCAATCTTGAACCATACGTAACGATGGTAAGGTAAATTTTTCCCCTCACCTTTTCTTTTCCGCCCCAGCCAAAGGACGCTTTATCCTTGGATAAATCGTAATTGCCCAGGTATTCGTTGCCTTTTTCATCGACGATTATCACCGGTGCTGCGTTTCCAACATGAACTGTAGTCCATCCACTTTTTCCTTCAGCTATGGTCATCCACTGATATTCAAGACCCATCTAAATTTCAGTATCTCAAAGGTAGAGGCTGGCTTCGTGAGGGGCTGGATGGTCCTGAAACTCACGCAGCTAGCTTCGGGTACGGTAAGCATTTGCATAGATCCAATCTCTGGACCTGCATTTTCTTGATTATTCGCTCCGAAGTTGGCCATAATCTGCAATTAGAAGCTGCTGTAGTCAGTGGCCTATTCGCACACCGTTGCCGTCACTTCCATGCAGGACCGCTCGGCACACATTGCGGCGAATTTTGTCAAACGCCGACGTGTCAAAACAAGTCAAGCAGGGTGGCCAATGAATACTTTTGTGCAAAAGGGTCGCCCCCGCTGTTGTTTAGAAAATAGGAAGTACTCCTTACTTTGCCCGCAGGGCTAGGATATGCTCGACCAAATACTGGTTCTCCATGTTTGTACCAAAGTGCCACATACTGGTTCATAGGGCCCGTTTCTGTCTTTAGCTGTCGCTTATCAGCCTAAAAAAGGGCTACCGTTCCCTATTCCCTTTAGGATCATCTCCACAACTGACCGGTTCAACATTGGACGGGAATGCATCGCCATATTTCAAATCACCCCAAAGATCGTCATAAATCTTAACTCCAGTTGGAGGTGGTCTCAGATTTCTGAATATTCCCAACAGCTCCCCGGTCGGTCCTCCAGCTAATGTTTCGGTTTTGCCATTTACAGAAACTAGCGCAATTTCTGTTCCCAGGTCCAAATAACCCAGTCGGGCTTGGCCATCCTTGCATGTCATGATCACAGGGGTTGACTGGCCACATCGGACGAGTTCGCGGTGGGATTCACCGGCAAGACGAGTTTTTACTGGAAGCCATTCGTACCTGTAACAGACTCAATTTTCAACGCTGCAAGTGACCGCTCCTACAATCCACTCACCAATATCCCAAAGAATTGAAATCTCCTTTATAGGTGAGGATCTGGATCTGTCCACCAAGATCTTTCTTCCCAGTCAGCTCCACTTTACTGTACGGGAACGAGCATTCCACGACGCCATTGTTGTTCCAAGCTCTTCCATGTATCGGTTTGCCATGCTTGTACCACAGTGCTACGTACATATTCTGCTGTCCTTGAACTCGAACCGGATTGTCTGGGAAAGGAGCGCCAATGGGCTGGAACAAGCGACTTCTTCGAAGTAGTCCATATAAGTCGATGTTGAAAGCAAATGGGCACCTGGAACGCCCATGTATCCTCTTGAGCAGGCATCGCTAGGCAGGAACACTTAAGAAGTGGCGAATCTACCGATTGCTGAGTTTATATAGTGCTCTATCATTATCAGCTGAGCTGATCAAAACAAACTTGCTTTCAGCCATGAATCAATCTAATTTCGAGATCTTCAAATTTCTTAGCGGTTCAAAGATGAATTTTGCATTTGATAGACGTGTCCACAAGAGGAGTTTTGCACTACAGTACGCAGCAACAGGGAGCGGCCTGTCTTATTGACCAATCAGAGGCTTGCGATAGCGACGCGCCCCTGATTGGTCAACTCGTGGCTGTCGTTGGCCAGGCTTCGAGTGAGGCGGAGCAAAGGCGGAGGATTGAACAAATGGGAGCAAAGAAACAGAAATTGACGCGCATCACTTTGGTCCTGTTTGGAATTAACTCTAAATTTACGTTTATGCAAAACAATCTAAACGCATCCACAAGCCTCTTCTAAGAAAAGTGGAGCGCAGCATAAAAACCTTATATTTAACTCCATTAGAAATTCATGCAGAATCTGATGACGAGACACGATTTACTTCCACTTACATCATTTCCAGACTCATGCGTAATGAAATCGACTGTGATCAACACCTCTAAAGAGATGACTGCTTACTCAGACTTTCCGCCGGAGCCTACTATGGCTAATTTTATGCACAACTCAGAGATGTACAGGTATGGGTAAGAACTAGTGATGAAGTGAGCAAAGCTAAACATAAGTAATGAAAATGGTTAAACACCGGGCCTTTAGTCGTTTCATCGAACGCAGAGACAAGACATTGCTGCGGACGCTGTCGGCGTGTCTGTAATCTATCACTTCTCTCGCCATCTGCTGTTTCTTTTTACACTATTCATGTCGGACGCAAATGCGCCCGGTTTCTGCGTGTGATGACTCGCTTATAGCTTGCCTTTTCGAGCGGTTTGACGATAAAGGTAGTTTCTAAGTAATGCTGGAATTGACGGAACTCAAATATTTAGAGAGCAATATTAGCAATTTAACAATAATTATACTGATGAATTAGTCAAATACGGGGCGAAATTTGTTAGCTACAATTTATCAGCTTCGAAATAGTCTGTAAAAAATTTTTTTTATGAATTTAGATACCTCAACAATTACGCTGACCACTACGATCTCAAGAAACATATAAAATTTGATCACAAAGTCCTGGATATTGAGCGTTCCAATGATTACAAGGAAACAGGACAATGGACCGTCACTTTCGAAGACGGGTAACTGATTATATTTGGCCTATTTGTCCAACAAGAAATTCTGTTTCTCCGATAGGTTCGGAAATAAGGGCACGGAAGTGTTTGATGGGGTCTTGCTATGTTCTGGTCATCATGCATTGCCCCGAATGCCCACTCCATGGCCGGGTCAGAACAGCTTTAAGGGGCGAATAATCCATGCGCACAGTTACAGGGACCATAAGGGTTGGTGCTCCATTACTTTTAGAAAATCATGAAACCAAAACTATTTTTCAAGGTTATGAAGACAAAATAGTTGTTGTCGTTGGAGCTGGAAACTCAGGAGGTGATATTGCTGTTGAGCTCAGTAGGATAGCCAAGCAAGTAGGTTTTTAATTCCCAGTTTTTTTTTCGCAAAATTTCGCCCTCCCCCTCCTGCGTACCAATATTATATTTGATGCAGGTTTATCTGGTAACTCGTCGCGGTACGTGGGTATACAATCGGATATTCGACTATGGCCTACCTTTTGATTTTGCAGCGAACAGGTCTCAAAAGATAATTCGATATTATGCCGGAAAGAAAATGCCTTCTTTGCAGATTGTACCTAGAACACATTCGTGAAATTGTTCCCGAATGGCTGACGAACACAATCATGGAAAAGAAGGTGAACCAACGCTTTGATCATGAGCGCTACGGATTAAAACCTAAACATCGCATCCTTGGGTCAGTTTATAGCAATTCTATAATGGTCCGCAATTTCTGTTCTTCAGCTAGCCACAAAAATTATTTATAGGGCACATCCAACGGTCAATGACGAATTACCAAATCGAATTGCCTGCGGTACAGTGCGAGTGAAGCCGAATATTAGAGAGTTCACCGAAGATGGAATTGTTTTTGAAGATGGATCCCATATTGAGGGTGTAGATGATGTGAGTTTTTGAATGTAAAGTCTTGCAAATTTCTCCTACTTGTAGATGACTGAGGCTTCAAAAAAATTAAAATTCAGACTGGCTTCATAAAATAATCTTCGGTTTTCAAGATCTTGGACTTTGAACCCGTGAAAAGTTCAAAAGCATCCCAAAATTTCCAAACGGCGTGACTAATGCCACGCTGCAAAAAAAAGCATAGTATTCTAAACAATTTTTTCTGGCGTATAAGAATAAGCATTCCGATCATAAAACGATACCCTTGCAACCATCCCATTATCTCCTGTGAAGTGTTACAAAACCAATCAAATTAGGAAGAGATCTATGCTTTTTTCAAAATAAAAAAAATTCACATAGAATTCGATTGGTTCATCTACAAGTCATTGAATATGCAAGGCTTACTTTTTTGTAGATAGTTATCCATGAGTATTATGAAATGCAATTTCGCCTAACAAGAGAGTTTCGGGACGTTTTTTTTTTATTTCAATCTCAAACGCTCAATCCTGGACTACTCCACGTTCTTCTTTATTTGTGATCACTTCAGATAGTCTTTCAACAAAATTTTTACAAATACCTTCGACTCGTTTCTTGTCGAAATTTTTCTTTTCAGGTTATATTTGCAACCGGCTACAAATTTCATTTTCCAATTGTGGAAGGTGGCAAGTTGATTCCCGTGCACGATAATATCGTCGACCTCTACGAATTTATGTACCCTACTGCCACATCGGACCATAATACATTGGCTGTAATTGGGCTCATTCAGGTACTTCTAATGTTTCCATATGGGAAAAAAGTTTTCGCTTCGATTTTTAGCCCCTCGGCTCAATTATGCCCATATCGGAGATGCAAGCTCGTGTCTTCTATGAAAATCTTTTTGGACGAAATAAAATTCCGGGGCGAGAAGAGGTAAAAGTCAACCTTCAGAATTATTTTTAAATGTTTATTTTTAGATGAAGAAGTCTATAAAGGAAAAGCGAGAGGCAATGGAAGCGAGATACGTGCATAGCCCAAGGCACACTATCCAAGTAAACCTTTTTTTGACAATTACTATTTTTTCCGACGGTAATGGGATGTAATTTAGGTTGATTTTATCACTTACATGAACGAGTTAGCCGAGCTAGTCGGCTGTAAACCCAATGTGAAAGAACTTCTGCTATCTGACCCATTATTAGCAATGCAGGTTAGAGAAAGCGAGGGTTCAAAGTATAAAAGTACAAAACCCCTTTCTTTTATTTAGATTTACTTCGGCCCCTGCGTTCCATATGTATATCGACTAAAAGGACCATTCCCTTGGTCTGGTGCCCGTGAGGCTATAATGGGCGTCGATGAGAGGGTATTCAAGGTCAGTAAAACTGCCAAGCTCACAATATTTGGTGATGAAAATATTTTAGGCAACAAGTTCGGCTCCGTACCGCTCTACTTACGAAGGCTATACTTACATCGTAGTTGCTCTGTTGATCGTATTTTTACTGAAGCTAATTTTCTAGCGATGAGTGTTTGGCTATCGAACCAATTTTGTGCAATTTTCTCTCAAATTTCCAATTGCCTTTCGAGCTTATAAATGTTAAATTTGAATCAAGGTTCTCCACATCGTGTCATGTTCTCAAATCGAATGCCGCTCAAAGCAAACCTTAACCTCATCGAGCATTGGAAAAAATTGAATTTTATGTAAACTTTGCTTGGACTTCTAGTTCCGTACATAAATACGCAAGTTGAAAATTGAGAAGAGTTCGAACTAACTAGATGATTGTGTCTACAATCGCTTAGACAACAGTTAGTAAATTTCCCCACAAAATTCTGCAGCGTTTCAAAATCGGTGAGTAGATAGTGCCTGAACAAAATTGTAACAAAGTGCTCCATATTTTGGCATGAAAGTAATCTGCCGATAAATATAGATCAACAGACGACAGACGGATACGGATGATTGCCGATCAACCGGAAAATGATTCATTCCTCAAGAATGGCTCTGAGATCGGAGCAGGATTTACCGCTGAAAATTTAAGGGCTATAGCATAGCAGAGTGGAAGAGGTTTGATGCAATTTGGCAGTCTTGTAACATTTGATATGCAGATGCGATTTATGAAATCAAAAAATGCGTGAACAGCGGTCGTAGCTCAGCACTGAAAAAAAACCTCAAACCCTCTGTCCTCATTTGAATTAAGCTGACCCCTGCCCTCCCTCCAGAAGAACTTGAACTAAGTTAAACCTACGACCGCCCAAGCTCTCATGCCCAAGAGGCGATGAACTGTCAGAAGACAGTCCAGTTATGTGCAGCCGTCAGTTTTAGCGAGCTGACCTAAGTTGAAGACAGGTGGTAAGTTCAATCAACGACGATAATGTGCAAAAGCGGAGAATCAGGGAGTAAGTTGCTCATGAGTAACTTGCAGAACACTTGAACTGACAACTAGAAGACACAGAAAACAAATACGCAAAACTACACAATTTCGAGGCCTGTGGATAGAAAGGGTTAATGAACAGCTAATTGCATTGCGTAGCGAAATCGCGTGAGGTATGTTGTGCCTTGCATTCGGTTGTGATATTTTTCCAGCCCGAAATTTTTGGATGTGAAATGAAAATGAATGGAAATCTTGGCGATTAGGTCGCGACGATTATGTCGCGTGAAGTCTGCCTGGGGCCTAATGGTCGATTTTTTAAAATCGCGTGAGGTATGGTATGCCTTGGGCCTAATGGTCGATTTTTCGTGACAGCTATCAAAGATTGCGTCGACCTAACAAAAATGACCCTCTCAGAAGGTCACAAACCATGGCCCTTTTGGTTGACACACCGTAACTTACTCATTCGAGCACCAACGTTTACATATGTGCGCATCATGAGTCATCGTCTAGATCACTGCCCTGTTAGCGTGCCAGCGCCGTAGTAGCGCCGTGCCAGCCTCGTGCCAGTGCGTATAGCGCCCTGATAGTGCGAGAGCCCGTTTAAGTGAGCGTGGCAGGGCCCACCTAAGCAGGGCGCAGGAAGACAGGAAGACATCACAAGCAACAGCAGTGTATTTAGTTTTATCGAGAAAGCGTATATCAGTTCAGTATTGATTAGTGAATTTTTCGATGATGTAGTACATGGAATTTCATTGGTGCCGTCCCAGTAAACATCTGAAGAATACGAATACAAAGACGTATTCAATCTGCGCTTGACTTTCAAACCTTCTGTTTTCCATCCCAACCTATCGAGGCAACTTCATTGGTTATATTTATGGAGCCCAACGTTTCTATGCCTTTTTCATCCACACAAACGCAAGGTGCAGCCGTTCCAACATGAACTGGTTCCCATTTCTTTGCTTCTTCCGCTCTTCCTTGAGACAATGGCATCCATTTATACTCCAGACCCATCTATAGTGACAAACGTATTCATAGGTGGGAGGTGGTTTACTCACAGCGCTTGGATCTGGTAGCGTCAAAATTTGCAGTGATCCTATCTCTGGTCCACTGTTCTCTTGATTTTTCGCTCCAAAACTTGCGTGAAGCTGGAATCATAGTCTGAGTATTTTTAAGTTATTCCCATTGCAAACATGCCTTTCCTTTATCGGGAAATGCATAACCAAAAACGGGTTCCCCATGTTTATACCATAGTGCTACATACTGGTACTTTGGTCTATCTTTCGCAGCCTTTAACTCACGTTTTAATGCCTGAATGCATTATTTTCCATCGCTAATTCTCCCCTGAGCAATGCTTGGTCCCTTACCGGCTCAGCATTTTTGGGAAAAGGATCTCCCCATTTGATATCATCCCACTGATCGTCCTCAACGAGTTTGTGCGGTGGTTCCTTATAATTTCGGAAGATTCCCAGACAATTTTGTGTTGGACCGCCAGCAATTTGTTCTACTTTCTTGTCGTACGATACCATAGCAATTTCTGTACTCAAATCAAGATAGCCAAGACGTGGTTGGCCGTCTTTGCAGTTTATGAGTATTGGTGTGGAATTTCCACATCTAACGAGTTCGCGGTGAGTCGTATCTTCAAATCTTGATTTCAGCGGTAGCCATTCATACCTAAACATAAGTCAAAAACTCCGTTCGATCAGGGTATAGAGTCTGTTTCGATCATAATGTCCCTTTCGTGTGCGGCTACGCGTGCGCAGCTTGCAAAACAAGCGCGCCGACCTTGATCGATGGGAACGTGACCGCTCCCCGCGTAGGCGCGCAAGAGAGCTCGCGAGGTGGATGCGCCGCCCTATACGGGGACAATGCGATTGAAACCGAGAATACACTTTTGGTATTCTGACATACTGACCAGTAACCAAGAGATTTAAAATTTCCTTTATATGTGAGTATTTGGATGTTTCCTTCGAGTTCGGTCTTCGTTTTCAATTCAAACTTCTTATAAGGAAACGAGCATTGCACGCCACCATCGTCGTTATACGCCCTTCCGTGTATCGGTTTCCCATACTTGTACCATAATGCGACGTACATATTCTGCTGTCCTGGGACACGGATAGGATTGTCTGGGAAAGGAGCACCAATAGGCTGGAATAGAACAGTCTTGTGCGGACAGCTTGGCTGGAGCATCTTCTTCGAACCTGCCAAGCCCAGGTGTCCTCCTTGGGTGCAACCTTCGCCACCATGTGTCAAGTAGATAAATGGCTGACCACCATTTAGCATTGCTTAAATAGCAGACTTTTGTAAACAAAGCTCTGATAAATCTCATTTTTGATTCTACACACTTTCTAAAAAAAAAATTCGGCGGTGCGATCTAGGACTGAAGCATAGCTATTTCGAAAGGGGGAGGGGGGGGGGGGGTGGAGGTAGACTGTTTCTGTTGGAGACCATGTGCTAATTCTTTGCTATCTTCTATCAATACGCGTCAGAAAAATCGGAATTACTTCAAACTCAAAAATACACGTCATTAAAACTAAGCATTCTGAATTTTTTAGATAAATGAATAGCAGACCTCGTAAATCACTGATTCTTCCCATAATCAAATTTCTCCTTGCTTCTCATAATGCTGAGGTCCTACTGGTCTCAGTGCGCTGACGCCTTTGAGTCGTAAAGGAGTATCTGTGGAGTGAAGATAAGGCTGTCACACATTCACGAATCCGTAAAGCTTTCTGAACGATACAATCAAATTTTTGAGGAACAGTGAGAAAACTAGCGTCACGATATGCCTGAAACAAACTATAAACGAACTTTTATGGTGAAGTGCAAATCGCATTTTTAGAGTTAGCGACTTTAATTAACCTAGCAACTGTATTTGAGCTTTTGGTTTTTTTTTTCAGAAGAAATGTGCCCCATTGGCTCAAGAAACTTTTAGAGTTATTACAGTAATCTTACAGTAACAAAGCGCGATCACTGATTTGCAATGATGGTGGTTTGCAAGTTGATACCCGTAAAAATGTGTTAAATCACAAAAAAAAATTACCGGGTTTCCAGCGCAACCCTTTTTGTAAAAAGTGATCGATGTGTCGGAGAAGAAATCACGAAAGTCACTAGTAGTTTTTATTAGACAGTGGCGATAAATTTTATCAAACGGGAATCCACGAAGATTTTTTGGATGAAAGGGCTTGGAGTTAACGAAGCCTTCATGTTACTGCCAGATTGTCATTTAGACATAGCAGAAGCAAGGTTCTTGAATTCTAAGATTTGTAGACTCATGAGCAAATAGGGAAAAAGCCTATAGATACTAAGATCCGACGAGAACAAATTTAATCTGAACTGCCACGGGAATAGGTGAGAAATTTTGAAGATGATTCTGGCAGCTTTTTCGTCAGAACGCTTCTAATCCCCACTAACAATAAGATGCATAAAGTCGACAGACGATCAGGTTAGATGTCTAGCTAGCCAATCCACTTTTTGGAAATTTTAAGAATGTCTTTGATTTTTGGTCTCTTTCTTAGTGACGAACAAAAAATTCTTTACCGACTCCCATTTGTCATAGATAAACCTTCGCAAGAAATTGTACCACGCTATTGAGCTATTTTTAGAAAAATTTGGTTTGGAGAGTATATCAGTCTTCAGATATTCCTAATCTACAGTGAATTACGATGACTCAAACGAAGAACTGATGTCTGGAAATGATTGTAGCCAGAGAAATGATGGCCTCTATCATTCTCCAAACAAAATTTCAGTTCACGAAGAGAAAATAGGCACAGTACTTACAAATTTACTCTGCAATTTCTCCATTTTACGCTTTAGAAAACTAGAGAATGTATCTATATACACAAGTTCAGGCTTTCCTGCTCAAAGCTTTCAAACGCGAGAAGTACATCTGTGCAGACATTGCAATTCGAGTACTGGGCAGAAAATAAGACTTTCAATTAAACTAACAACGATTTATTAACAACAAATACTTCATCTGATGGAAAAGCCATAACTAGCGCGAGTAACCGTAACAGGACAAATGTCAATAAACAAATACAATCTATATACACGAGATCGATAGAACCTCAAGAGATGCATATTAATACAGTGTTAACAATGAAATGGCATCATTATGCCTTCGCTGCTGCAGTTTTCTTAGCAGCCGGTTTCTTCGCCGTCTTTGCTTTTGATGGAGCCTTCTTGGGAGTCGCAGACTTTTTCGGGGATTTGGCGGATTTTGCTTTTGGCTTAGCGGCTGCCTTCTTTGGTGACTTCGCTGATTTTTCTTTCTTGGCTTTGGGCGTCTGGAACGTGATTCATTACATCGATTCCTTGCGAGGTAAACAAATCAAAAGTTACCTTAGGCTTAGCAGCAGCAGCAGCTTTTGGTTTGGCTTCTGAGGCAGACTTGGGCTTCTTGGCAACCTTAGGTTTCATCGGAGTTTCGGTCTTCTCGGCCAGACGGAATCGTCCAGAGGCTCCAGTCCCGGAAGCTTGCCTCAACAGACCATCCTTCACACCCTTTTTCAGAGCCAGGCGAAGTCGAGCATTGATCTGAAGAAGACATAATTTCAGCAGATTGTGATGAACAAACAAGATACAAGATAAGGGAAATCTCCAAAAACAGCGTATTTTTCGCAAGAATCGATTGACTATGATATGACAGAAGCAAAGTCCGTAAGCTCTAAGAACAAAGGGTCGCGCATTAAAATGTACTTTTTCACTGAAGCTCAAGGTGAACAAACAGTCGTTCAAAGCAAAAGCTATTAGGAATCTGAAGGAATCTGCAAAAACAAATTACAAATCGACCCTACATAATATCCAACCCATATTATCTGTGTTCGCTCTCCCCTGCAGATAAAATGAACAATTTCGACACCCCCCCCCCCCTCAAAAATCAAAGCGTGCAGATAAATTACACCCATAATGTCTTACCAACCTGTTTCTCATTGTCTCCGACTTTGTATTTCTGGATGATATATTTCAAGATAGCTTGTTTTGATGATCCTTTGCGATCCTTCAGTTCTTTGACGGCAGCTTTGATCATGGCACCGTAGGCCGGATGTGAAGCAACTTTGGCTTTCTTCTCTCCCTTAGGTTTGGTTCCCTAAAAAAATTTTCTTTGTCTTGTTTACCAACCGAATTACTCGAAAATAACATCTGCAAATGACGCGATAGTCAAGGATTACCTTTGATTTCTTTGCAGGTGGAGCTTGTGCAGGATCAGCAGTAGGGTTGGCAGCAACAGCGTCTGACATGGTCGTAGCTTAGGGTTAGAAATGCAAGTGAATGGCAAAATTAGCGCCGCAGCTTTTATATAGCATGCCAGGTTCCCCCGTCGAGCCCCCTCAGAGGAGGCCGCCGACGAACGCGATAGGCGCTGCTTGGCTGTAAGTACGTGCTGAAAATCAAGTGATAACTCCGTGATTACTTTGACTCGTTCCATTTCTTCTTGATATATGGGACTCCAAGGTTTAGGCTACCCACTCATATCGAATACTTGAGCTATCTTTGAGGAATGTCCCAGAAAATCAGCTGTGAAACCTATGCCATCCGAAGATTTACGGAGTTTGTCGCCTTCTCCTGTAAGATTTGCTAGATTCTCTTTATCTTCCTAATTGGGGATTATAACTCTTATATAAGAAGATCTTGGAGCATTATAATCATTGGTGAGCTTTATGATATCTCTAGCCATCACGTCAAAACAACACATTTTTCCAAAATGGAAAACAGCACTGTTATGATCCCGTTTCTAGAAATGTGGAATGACGAAAAGTTTCCTATAGAATTCACATATTGTTAGAAAGCTCATGACATTCTCTATAAGAAACTGTTGATTTCGTACAAATCTATTCCCATCTTCCCTGTCCAATATCCGCCTGAACCTATCACTTCTTATGCCGCGTCGCGCCTCTATGCTGCGACAGCGGATGGAAAACAACCAAATTCAACATCTTCGTTCAACTTTGGACCTATTTCTATCCGGGCTAACTTTGCTACGATGATGAAAGATAATCATTTCTTGCTAAAGACAAAGATTTGGCGTTTTTTGACGGATAAAGTAAGGCAGTATTCTAGTTTCAAGTTATTCAACTATCGATCGCGCTCTGTGACTAGTGTCGGACTTCGGCAAGACACTTAGGCTGGGTAAGGCATGCAAAAGATATAGCTGAGAGTTTAATTTCCTCAGAAATGCTGAGAATCAATTATTTTCATTTTCCACAAGATCACAGCAGCAAGATCATCATTTTGTAGACGAATCTTTTGAAGAATTTCCAGACTTTTGAAGCCATATTCGTTGTGTGATAAGACGTGAAATACTCGTACTAGAGATAAGAAACGTAAATTCTTGTAACTGGAATTGGATCAGTGCCAATCAATGTTTCTTTCCTATATTTGGCTGCGATAGACGAAGATTGATCATTAGATGTTTGAGGCTCTCGACTCCATCGTATACCTAAACTTCTATACCGACCAAGAAGTTCTGAAATTATATGTATGTTCTTTTTTTTCTGTAGAAAACAGGGTACCACGTAGGCCGTCAGAATCCGATTTCCAAATACAGATTTTTTTCCTTGGTCGTAGCATATCATCTGATGATTCAAGAGTTTCGTGGTTGCATGCGTGATGAAAGCTCAATTTCCGATTTTTCCGTCCAAGTGCAATAGATAACTGATAATGCAATAGATAATTTGGCTGTTGAGGTCAAATTTTTTAGTCAATAATTTCCTGTTTTCACACTCACATCGTTTCATCTAACATTTTTGGTAGAAGATTTTTTTGTGTTGGGTTGGCTTGTCTCTAAGGGGTTGGACTCCAAGCTGCATTCAGTGGCAATTATGGGTAGTGTTATGGCTTATAATGCGTTTTGCTCCTTATACTTCGAAAATTCAGAATAACTCAATGAATCCATTGAGTCATAAGTACAAATTTTTGATCACAAGGAGTTTCTAAGGAGTTCTAAGCTAAAGGAAACAAAATTTTACGTTACACTTTTTTCCTCTGGCTTTGCCGGTAGACTTAGAATGATTTTTGTTATCATTGTTCTAAAAAATTTTTTCAGAGGGAGCTAAGTAAAGATAAATTTGAAATACTCATTTTTGATTGCTTCACAATCTCAGGAAACAGGCCTAAACGACTTTTCATGCATTTAGTGGCATGATTTCTATTTATAGTGTAGAAAAAGTCAGAGACAAACGACTCTACTATTTTTCATTAGTCAGCGTTTCAGAAAAATATGTGAACTTTCCCGTAGTTCTTGTAAGTAATGACATTATAGCGTTCTTTGAAGTAACTGGAGTTGTGACTATTCCAACCTTACACTCTCTCTGGTTTTCAGTTTATCCAACATATGGGTGGTATACACAACCCAGAAAGATTTTTTAACCTGTAATTTAGTTCTTCTTTCCCTCATATGTTTTGATCTTCCATACTCTGCAGTACTGTTTGTTCCTTCTCGCATATATTTTACATGCAAAGCTTATATCATTCATTCTCTGACTAGGAGACACGAACACGCTTTGCACACATTTCATTTACAAGTTCGGGCATGAGTTTTAACGCGTTTTGGTTAATTTATGGTTAAAATTCGTGGAAGAACATGTTTGAGCTCGTTAAACCACTCTGGCTTGAACACGTTTTTTCAAGAATCCTGATAGTAATTAACCAAAAACGCGTTAGAACTCATTCATGGACTTGTTAATCAAACATACGCAAAGCGTGCTCACGTCTCTTACAAGGAAAGGATACTTGGTGACTCCGGCCATTTGGTATGCGATGTATACCACAAGGTGCATCTCGAAACGCTGATTCTAAATCTGTGCTCGAAATTTCCGAAACGATCATATGAAGGCAGTTATGAACTTTTTCGTAAAAAATTTGCGTACTTTCAGGTAGTCAAAATCGCCCAATTTGGTCTATTTACCATTTGAAGCTAGAGAGGAGAATCTTGAAAGGTGTACGTTGTATTTATACCTATCTAAATCATATTCGGCATTTGAAGAGGAAAGAAAAATTTTTATCAATGATTTTCATTCTCCGCAGTAGGGCACTTCATTCTTGAAAAAATGATTATGACTCCATCCAGGTTCTTGTTTCGCAGATATGAAAAATAGTATTCGAGCCAGCATTAAAAGACGCATTTTTGATATATAAACCATTATGAATGGCCGGGGTCGCCAAGTATCCTTCACTGTTTAGTCAGAGAATGAATGATACATAGTTCTCAATCATTATTTCCACTAATTAAGTTTCATAGAGCGATCATAACTAGAATGGCATTAGATTTGTGAAGCCAACGTAGTTTCAAACGCTCAAAATAATTAAGAATGGTCTGAACCAATTTTGTTTATGAAATGCAGAATTTGCAAAACTTGACTTACGAAGAATTTTGCCGATATGCATAGAGCATAGAGAACGACTAAACATCTGACGTTTTCTCACGAACTTTCTAATAATTTCGCTGTTTGCAAGGCTTCGCAGCATCACGAAACTTGCAAAAAGAGGATTCGCAGCAATTTGCAAAATGATATCTTTCTGAATTATAGCCACCTCAGCGTGTTTATCATCTTTTCTCAAAAGCTTTCAAGTCTCTTTTTTCTTTTAAAAAATTTCTTCACTCTTGAATAAAGCAGACTTTTTCATCAGATGAAAAGTGTTCTCATTACTTCGGTATCGCCGCTTCTGTCTCTTTATTATTCTGCTCGCGTTTACGAAATTCATGGTCCTTTTACACTTTGCAGTTCTTGTGTATATTCCCACACATCTGCTCAGCGGGATCATAAAGGCTATAATAGCCAAAGTGTATAGAAGATGTTCGGCATGAATTATTAATAACATTGCCGCCGTGCGAAGTGGTCCTGTGCCATGGCATCGTTCGCACAGTACAGTCTAATATGGAGAACATTGTCCATTCTGGTTGTGAGACTACGAAACTAGAACGATCAGCAGACGTTGTTTTACAAGTTTGAACTTGTTCCCCATTCCATTCAGAAGTGTTAAGACTTCCACAAGTGATGTACTGTACAGGTTCTAATTTGTTAAGCGCAAATGCGTCCCCGACTCTGCTTGCATCGAAGATACCCTCCGTCAGGCTTTGGGTTATCTTGTGCAGATGCACTAGAATGTGAATAGTTTTAATTTTCTTGCAATAGATTTTGTGGTATGTGTATCTAGTCCAAAACCACACCGATTAACCTGCTAAAATCGAAGCTCTACCATATTGTGAAGATAACCTTTGATTCAACTGGATTAGCAGCTGGAAGGCGGGCTTTGTGACCTAATTAAAGCCGCTCTCGCCTACGACGCAGTCGGCGTCTCTCGCGCGCTCGTGCTCTCTGATTAATCTCTAGCCTTAACTAGGTCACAAAGCCCCGCCTTCCAACCGCCAAGCCAGTTGAATCGAAGGGTGTAGCCTTCCTCATTCCAGTCGGCTTTCTGGACATAAATCTAAACTGGAGCAGGGCGTCTGCGCTGGAACAGTTATTATCCAAGGCGAATTAAACTGAGCGCTGAGGTGCCGTCCTTTACCGCGACCGGCTCCAGTTCGAATTTCAAAAGATCCTAGGTGTCTAAGGATGAAAACGACTATAACCATGAATTTGAGCTGTTGTGCAGTCGCACCAGATGGCTCCGGATTTGACGTCAGTTAGCATAAGGTAAGCATAACACTGAGACACGAGTCCTAAAAAAGTGCAAAATAAGTGCCTCATATTAGCAATAACCTAGTATAATAGTTTGATTACATTTCAGGACGATGTAGTGTAACTCTTAAGAATTCTAAATTACTTTACCAGAATAATCCTAAACTGTAGAAGTTATTGGAAATGGGATTTGAAGAAAACTTCGCGAACGTCTTGCGTCTAAGCTTTACAATTAATGGAAACTCAACTTTGTGGAATGAGAAATTGAGTAAAAGGCTACTAAGCCCTAAGGCATTTTAGCAAACTCGGGAAGAAAGGTGTAAAGGGAGGTTGTTAACAGAATTTTTCTATGTGTAAGTAGCGATTGCTGTATTTCAATTTTATCGATTCGTAATCTAGGTAAATTTCCCAGCTCTCTTCAGTAATATTTGCTATGTTCAACAATATACCATCAGCATTTCTTAAAAATGCGAATTTTTTATTTCCTATAGAATCACTCTGCTTCGATACTGTTTGCTATTCCTGGTGGCTAGTTTTGTGATCTATACTTTCTTGTGGAAAAACTGTTACCATTCCAAATACAAGTAATGTCAGAAACTAAAGAAAGTCATGCATGTCAATTTGGCTCCGCCCTTCTACACGCAGTTCGAGACCAGTCTTCGATGAAGTTTTTATCGAGTTTGAATCC